ATCCTTCGAGACGCGAAACTTATTCGTTGCTTGAAATTCTTTTCGCATATAAAAGCTATAATATAGATTTTAATCATTTATAATAATAATGAATGAATAACTTTAACAACTTTGCAATAATGTACGTCAATCTTGTCTTTATGCCTACGTACACACTACAACACTCTAATGAATCCTTGCAGATTGATGAGCCGTGATGTACGCCGCAATGAATTTCTAGAGGCATGAACACCTGAACACGATGACAAATGAGTACTTCCGGCGCGCGGGCACTCAGCCACGAATGGGTTTTGATCGGAGCGGTTGACTTTAATGCAAGTTAATTAGCTCTTCAATTATCGCTTTCGAGCCGCTGGAACGGTGAATCGTTCGTGAATGAAGCGTTTACAGCCCGATGCTAATTTGCGGCACACCTGCTTTTTGGCAAACGAGGCAAAGGCGCGAACATTCCCTGCTTGATTATCGCCAATTACTAACTACGCACTACTTAAACGACGCACTCGTTCGCCTTCTCGGTTATGGTTAAAACGCACGCACATCTTTATCGTGGATGAGTGATTTCTCTATAAATCGATCGTTGCGCGAGCAATAAAGGTAATTGACGTACATCATAGTGCAGAATAAATCAGCTGTATTGAAGAAATGTAAAAGCGCTCAAAGCTGATAAAATATTAACATTTCTATTCACCGAACACTTGAAGAATATTTACTATATAGATCAATGTACTGGTTCGATAAAATAAAGCAAACTATTAATTTGTTTCTACTGTAAAAGATAATAAAATCTTTAAATCTAATTTGATCAGCGTATAGATAACTGATTGCATTATTAGAGATATCTTTTATAAAAATAGAAAATTAATGATAGATTAAACAAATATACAAGGATATCGCAATGCAATGAACAGTGCATCGTCTAGAAAAATTTCCAAAACACATTTGTAAGCTTCGAAACAACTGCGCAAATGCAAAGGTATCGATTCCAAGCAATAAAACGGCGCTCTGGCCGTCTTGTTGAACGTATTTACAGCGTATTTTATGCTGCATTTTACAATCGGCTGGCGTATTTATTCGGGCGAGAAGAAATGACTCTCGCACAACGCTACAGTGCGCTCTGATCGATTTAACGCCAAATGTCGCCGTGTTTTACACGCGGCAATAATGGTCGAAATCTATGTAGCCAATATTTCAAGCCACCCTTTCTCGCTTGCACGTCCCCCACGATGGCGTTCGTATACCAACGACATGTAGTCTTAGTTATTGGTTCGCATATGGACACCGTTCGATATTTCATATTCTACAGCGAAATGAAAGTATAAACGCAATCACAGACGGCGTGTTCCAAAAAGCGCGATTAATTTTTCGACTGTAACGTTCGATAACGAGTGAATTTTAACACAATAAAGCGAATTGCCGTGCCAAAGTTCAGAATAAAAATTTTGCATTTTCTTAAGCTAACAAAAATTTATCAAATGGATAAAATAAAGATTGTTTAACCAAAATAATAGCAAAACAAATAAAAACGTTATTTGAAGTTATCTGAAATTTGTATTCAAATTTAATGTAATTTTAATATAAAATATTTGATAATTAATTCTTTTATTTGCATGAGTTTCTCGATTCAGCTTCAAGTATGTAGTATGTAAAAAGACAAAAAAAAAACAATTTAGTACAATTAGTCGAATAAATAAAATTTACATATTTAACAGAAAAGAGGATGATCTGAAATAGAAGAATAATAGTCCCGAGGGAGAAATATGATTTCTGCTGTCCGGCATACTGAGAAAAATGTTCTGTTTCGTCCAAAATTGAACAGACGGTTTGTTCAATCAAACAGAACGTGTTTCTCAGTGCAAAAATCTTGATGTAAGCGACGAACGTAATTTGCACGGGAATGGAGTGTGTCACACTTCACAGATTACTTTTAACAGGTACTTGCTAATTTATTTCTCTTTAGCACAATTTTATTCTGTCAATTTCTCCAAAAATTTTGTATAAATACCGCTCTACGTGTTAGATGTTATATCCAATTTCTATTTGTTCGCTTCATATTTTTTACAATTTAATTATATTTTATAAAATCTAATTATTTTAATTTTTACTGTAATTGTATTAAATGTCAATATGAATTATAATTTTTCTCAACTTTCTTATTTTTAATATCGAAGAATGCACGTTAATAATAAATTAAAATACCATCTACTTAAAATTAAACAAAGGGTAAAATTCCTTAAATAAAAAATAAATTCCAAAAACGTTTTATTCACTTATGAAGACACGCAGATGATTTATGATCTATCTATCGACTATTCTTTTAGGTGTATTGTGTTAAATTTATGTTTAAGGGTCGTCGGCGTTTTCGGGTGAAAGAACACGTTCTTGTAACACATGTGTTCTTGCAAGAGTGTGTCTACAAGCTCGTAATATTTTAGGGAACCCTCCCGGCCCTCGTCCTTTAAAAACTAGCCGGTGCATATGTCGGCGTAGGCGACATAATGTTATCAAGCTGTCCAGAAAGGAGCGCCGCCGATCGCCGCCGTGCTAGGACGAGGTCCTCGGGGGACTGCGTCCTCGCCCACTTCGTCCTTATTGATATACCGAATAAACACACTTGGCAGCTAGGCCAGGACGGCTTTGCGAGGCAAATAACCTCGGAAGAACCCTACGTCCGGGGGAATATCTTTCCTAAAAGACGGCACCACGCTCGATGCTGATAACAGCGGAGATGACAAAAACTAATTTGCGTAAAATTATTTGACAAAAAAAAAAAAAATCTTAATAAATTATTATTAATAAATAATTATTAATCATATATATAATTGCAGTGACTATTGTTTTCAAATTGCAAATAATTAACATATGTCAATATATTCTACGCTAAATTGTTAATACATAGCGATAAGATATGTATTTAATGAAATCGTTTTTGGCTTAATTTTTGATGAAAAAATTGCCCCTTTCTCAAAGTACCGTAAGTTATAATGAGATTGCCTCATTAACTTCGTAGCAAAAAAGAAAAGATTTCACGACTATCTAGTATTTAAGGAAGTAATCAACAAGTTCTTAACATATCACGAGATTTTGAGCATTTCTGTCGATTTTTCATATCTCTAATAAGCATAAGTGGTTTTTTTTATAACAAAAAATTTACTCTACTGGCGGCAATAAATAATACTTCCTTAAGTATCCTTACGCAACTTTTTTTTATATATAATTAAACGTTTTGCTAGTCTTTAATAATGTAACTTTTATTATTGCTTTTATGTTTTAATAAAATACACATTAGCAGAAATAACAAGCTGCGAGACGAGAATCTTGACTACTCTGTTTAGAAATATAAATAGAAATGTAAATTGTGAAATTACACGGTGGAGCGATCATTAAATCCCGAATACATTTTAGAATGATATAAAAGACGCTCTAATGTCCTTTTACGCTATAAAAGTATCCCGCGAAGCCCGACGCCGCCGAAGCGTCATTTACCTTCTAAAATCGCTTCTGGAATCTCATTCAGTCTCCGGTTTCACCCTCATGGCTTTTAAGTTGTGACCCTTATCGACCGCGCCGGTGGACTTAGCGCACCTCGTCCGAGAGCGCGACAGTTATCCAGTAAATAAAGATGAGTAGTTTCCCCGTCATCGCTCTCTCGCATACACACACGCGCACACGCAATCGCGAGCCTGTGTGCGTGTGGCAGCGAGACGGTTTTAAATTCCGCGAGTCAAAGAGCGATGTTTGACATGGAAATGTTGGGCGATGCATTAAACATACCGCACCGAGTGCTTCCTTCCCCCTCTCGTAGGATCGCAATCCCCCTGCTCTTTCCCGAAAGACGAAAAGCGCGCCCCACAGTTGTCCGGGGCCCAATCGTATAACCAATAAACTCCCAGGCCCCCGATCTCCCTCGCGTGGTCCGAGCTATGTTTATTTAGGCAAACGAAAGAAACCGTTGCGGCTCTCGGCTTCATCTTCGCAAATGCTCACAAAATCGCTTTCAACAAACTAACAATAAGTCGATAACCATAGCTAAAATGAGTTTCGGCGGCAGATGCTCTTATTTTCCTCGTGTACGATAAGATAATTCTGATAACACTTGGAATAATATTTATCTTCCATAAATACACCACAGTGATCTAATGTTATAGAATTTAAATGTAGTATTACGATAAGTACATTTATTTTGACGTCTATTTATCACCCCTTGTTTGAACAAATTTTGAACACAAACAAATGATTGATAAAAATTGAACGTGTTAACCGTATTAAATCGTAATAACGTAGTTAATAATTCTATCAGATTATATACACATAGTTGGTCTTTAATATTATAAAATATAATCCATCACTCGAATATATTTTTTAACTAATATAAACATATGTGTCTTAACATGCAAACTTGTAAATCTGGTATATCATTATTGTCGACGAGTTGCATCGAGTAGAATAAAACGAGCGTCGCAAATCTCCGAGTCATGATTAGCGGAGCAGTTGTCGAGGATAGGAAGTGCCCACCTGCGAGAAGTAATTTTACCGAATGTTTCCATAAAAGAATCCCCCTTCTCTTTTCCATTGTCCGGCAAATGACATCAAGCTTATTGCATTATTTAAAGAGCTTCGCTTTAAGGACGTTTTAAGCCACCGACCCTCGATTGTCGGAGTGCCGCCACTGACGGCACAAACCGGGTTTCTCACGAATAAGTCGCGAGGGTTCTACGAATTCGACAATTCTTCGAGACGCGACCCAACAACGGTCTCAAGTAAAAGTAGAAGTTCGAAATGCTGCACAATTGTTTCGTTAAATATTAAAGAATAGTTCATCTCTAGTATATTATGATCTCGTCAAATTTTAAATTAATATAATATTAAGACTTTGAACAATCGTATTTAGAGTATATATCATCAATATATACTAAATAATATTGCATAATATATTTTATCTACAGAACAAAAATTGTCGCAAAGTTATTTAGCGATGTATTTCGTGAGATTTTTGTACTCACCGGGAGAGATGCCAAGCTTCGCATGCAAGCTACTGGGGCTTCTGTGATCGGGGGTGGTAACAGAGGCAGCTACGGGTGGCGACAGGTGGGGATGTGTCAGTGGCCCACCACCTGTCGTCGTCGTGGTAGTTGTTGTGGCACAGGGATTTAAGGGTGATGTCCTCTTGAAAGACTGGTCCGTCCGCCACGCGACCTCATTGTCGCCTATCCAGACTTTACCTGCACAAACAGATCGGACAAAAATGAGATATATACACAGATACGATAACAGCATAGCGAATCACATAAAATTCTTAAATTTAAAGTTATAGCTACTCAGTTTTTATAATTATTGCAGTTTATAAAATAACACATGTAATTAAAAATTAATTCTGTAAAAAAATAAACCTCACTTATTATCATATTTAATTATTTGTATTATTTTAATCGTGTTAAATGATTCTTATGTACAAAATGTTTCCAATTCTTTTTTCTTGCTGAAAATCAAGAAAACTCATTCATAAATGCGAGAGAATAATATGCATGCTCTCCCTTCGAGCAGATCGCTGCAACAATATCAGCAATGGAAGATCAAATTGCAAAAGAGGCTCTCGAGATAAATTCTATGCGGCGCGCGCGTATTAATATAACGCACACTGATGCGCTGGAATATGTGTGTGCAGAAAATGGTTTCTCTCCCCCGGACAGACCTGCCGTAATTAGCGACCCTCCGAATCCCCTATTCCTGCCAGTTTTCCCGGTTTTCCCCCGTTTCCCTTAATTTCTGGGAACAATGCCCGGCTCTGGATGTTGTTCCAGGCTGAAGTGTCTAATTACACTGGGGCATACCGAGCTCTTCCTCTTCCCAAATTTGTAAGAGCAATGTATAGGGTGTACTAAAGTTCGCAGATGCATTATGGAGCATTCATCGGTACTTTCGAAAAACAAAATAATGCTACTTTTGTTAAATTAATCAATTTGTTTTAATAAAAAGTGTCCAAAATATATGCTAACAACAATTAGTTTGTGCTGTATTTTACTGCGTATAAAATATTTTTCTACTAATGTTACCACTAATAAGATATCATAAAACTATTATTAATATATAGATATGAAAGTATGAATAAATTAATCATGTTAAAAATTTATTAAAATTACATGATTCAATTCATATAAACATCCTAAACAAATGTATTATTACGCTTCACAAATGTTTTGTCGCGTGAGATATCTCGGATATCCACATTGTGTCTTTTCGAGCACCCCGTAGGTGGCAGAGCCTCGGATTTATGAAACACGCGAATACCATATCGCCCCCGCGTGCGTGAGATGTGACTCAGACTCGGTATTATTTGCTTGACGAATGATTTAGCTCGAGATACTTAGCTCGCTTTTCCCCATCACCCCTCTCCCCCACCTCCCCCCTGCCTTTTCGTAACCCCTGGCAGAAAAGTAAGCTCTCTTCGTTCTTCTGTCTGCTTTCTAACGACGGGCAGAGGAGCGCGTTGCTCCGGAGGCAGAAATACAGTAACCAGCAGACGAAAGGAGAATAGGGGGTGACGGCAGGGTTCAGCAGAATGCAAGAGAATGGCGAAGAAGAGCGAGGGTGGTAACCGGAGCCCGTAGTTCCGCGTGAGAAAGAGAGAACGTTTTTCCTATCGAGAGGAAAAAGAGTAGGAAAAGAAAGAGAGAGCGAGAGCGAGAGAGAGAGAGAGAGAGAGCGAAACGAGAAAAGCGGTGGGGCTGAAGAAAGTGTAGCCGGCGCTAACTAAGGGCGTCGGCTAATCAATATCATCAGAGAATGGCCGCTGACCTCCATCTACCCCGCTAGATCGACCATTGTCCGGTATTCCGCGCTTCGAACAGGCTCCGAGCGCGAATACGAACCATTCAGTTTTCCTGATTATCGCGAGCTTACAAGTACCTGATTCTACAACATCTCATTTACACTGTAACGATGCTTCTTTTTGTAATTATTATTATTAATATAACAACATCGAAATTTTCAAGACATTTTCTTTCATTGACAATTATAGCACTTTAAGAATTAGCCGGCTAACGCATTTAGTTTCAAGATAATGTCGAATTCTAATTAAATTGCTTATCAATCGTTCATGCTAGAATCTTCTGGAAGAATATTGAAAATTATTTCCACAGGGATGACTTGCCCGAGGCTACGATTCAAACGTAAACCGTAGCACAGAGCCAACCTTTAATCACGTGGTGTTTGCATGACCCCCCTGGTTTTATTCAATCCCACGGAGACAAACGAAAACCAGCGTACCCTAAGGAGGCGGTGAGCTCGACGTAAAATCGCGTGCGAGCTCGTGGAAAATTCAGTTATGTCAAGTCCGTGAAGATCGTTTTTACGTACCACTCATATATATAGCTATAAAAAATATTACTGACTTATTAAATTTCATTTACTTTCTTATCAATATCATTTCTTATCTATTTAATCAGCTATGAAAAACATCTATCTATTATTAAATTCAAAGTAAAATGACATATGAATTTGTGGACATAAGTTATCTCTGGCTTAAACTAAGCACACGATAATTCGTTTATTCGTTTTATCGGTTCGCTCGCGCGCGCGCGTGCCTTTTAACATTGTTCCTTTGTTTCTCGCTCGATGGAGATTGCAGCTATGTCTAAACGAAAACCAATCCGCATAAACAGAGCTATCCATTCTGCAATTCGTCCCTTGTTCCCCTCTACTTCGCCGCTAGAGAAGAAAACCTATTCCCTTCGTCCTTTGCATTCCCCTTCGCCCATTCGTCCAACCCGGCGCGAACTCCATTCACGGGTTTATCACTGTCCAGATAACAACGATTTACCTACACGCGAACTCCTGCGGGTTGGGGTTTCGGGCGGGTAAGAGGGTGCGTCCAGAGGGGTTGTTCAGAGAGGAGAGACGAGGTGAGCCGCATGGCAGGGCCGCTGAAGAAGGCGAGACGGGCAGCCACCTTGCATTCGGGAGTATTTCACTTTAACGGCCCTCCGGGGGATTGGCTGACCCCGACCGGAGACCCTTCACCGTTTCGGCATAATGGACCTCTACATTACTTATTCGTTCTAGCCAATGTCCTGCTAGCGGCTCCGCTCCCGACCACGGCAAGGACGAAGTCGCTCGTGTTCCTTGCCATTCCCGCACGCGATTAATCGCACGTCACGAGAACGAGGATGTCGAGTTAAGGACGTCACAATAAGAAATAGTTATTTAAATTAAACGAAATATTAAGTAAGGATCTATTATGTCTTGAATTTTTTATGCGCGTGCAAATAATATATATAAAAAAATTAGGTTCTTGAACGAACCTACAAAATTTTTGTTCGAAAAAATCACGCTTTGACGTTGAAAATTTGTTTATCTAATTACATATTTCTATCCTCTTCTCTAACAACGACGACGGAGCCACTCCTGCTGATCCCAGCTTCCGGATAGTAGCACGGAAGAACAACACGCCCCGAGCAAACTGCTTTCCCCACGGCACTCGAAAGAATTGAAAATTCCTGCTCGTCCAAGGGTTGAGGAGGTCGACGATGATGGGGGCGGTGGTTGGTGGGACGAAGAAACGGGACGAGGAAGCGAACGCGGATAAAGCGTTCGATATAAGATTAATGCTAGAGGCCGCCGACCGGTCCCGCGCACGTCGAGGGCCGTTCAACCATATACGACGGCAATGGTGATTCCTCTTTGAAGGTGGAACCATGGGCAGTGGCCAAATTGAATCCTGCTTAGGACAGAAGAAGCGTCGAGAGAACGGAAAGACGAGAGAAAGCCCGGCCCCGAAGTCCTTTCTCCAATAAATAAATCGCCGAGCGTCCGTGGATTTCCGATTTTCAGCTCGAGCGTACGGATTAAAATCGACCGCCCGATTTGTTGCGACAAACGTCGGAATAATTGCGCGATTATCTTGCTTCTGTATGTTCTTCGGTTTTCAGAGAGAAATATCCGTGTCAAATGTGTTGCTTATAAAAGCTTTAGATACATCATTTTACACTATAATAAAATAATTTAAAGTAAAATAAGAATTATAAATAAGTTCTTGCGTTGTCTTTTAATATCCAGTCAAGCTCGTGCCAAATATTGTACTCCAAATATGACGATCATAATTTGTATAACAGCTACATTCAAATTTTTTAATGTATATAATTAGTCTATTATTCTATTGTTAAAAATTAAAATGTCGCGTATAGTCTATCTATATTTTTTAGTTTCACCTTCTGATTATATCTGTATCATTATAATCATTAAATGTGCAATATTTCTTTAATACCAAAAAAATAAAAACTGAATATCGTCGGACTTTTCCAGAAACAACCATAATTTACAAATGTACTTTGATGTTTGTCACTCTACAAATATAAGATCTAATACAAATATAAGATCTATAGACAATAATCTAAAATATCTAATCTAAAAATATATTATGTCGATAATTGAACACACACTAACAGCACACTGACAGAGATTATTGTTTGCAGATGCGAAAGATCTTTAATCAAAAACAACTTTTATTCTTCGTCCAATAAGAAATATTATATTATTAAGTCGAAATACTAAATTCTCTATAAATTAAAAACTTCTTTAGAAATATTAATATTAATTTATTTAATGGATTATATGTATTAAATACAGCTAATCGCTAGCGTTTTGTTACAAAAACATAAAGCCTAATGCACAATAGAGAAAATATTAGAAATAAGAATAAAAATACATGAATTAATCCATTCCATTTTTTTTGTTTTGAATAAAATAATTCCAATTTTCTATTTCTAACGTTTAATATTTATTCCTATTCCTAATATTTTCTCTATTGTGCGTTAGGTCTTACAAATATATTTTTAGAGAACTACGTTGCGGGCCGTATATTGAATATTAATACAACTCAATATGAATTCCGAATCATTATGAATTATGTATTCGTATGCAAGAAAATTTTCATCTTGATCATATATTATATATTCGCGATAAAATTGCGATTT